GTCTCGAAAGATGTACGCCGTCAAAATAGAACATAGCAACGGTCTGGCAACCACCCAGAACACCCCAGAAACTGCATAGCAACACAAACAACCAATCAGAACACCTCAGTAACCGCATATAAACGGCCTGGCAACGTTTATCTCGAAAGATGTACGCCGTCAAAATAGAACATAGCAACGGTCTGGCAACCACCCAGAACACCCCAGAAACTGCATAGCAACACAAACAACCAATCAGAACACCTCAGTAACCGCATATAAACGCCCTAGCAACGTTTGTCTTGAAAGATGTACGCCGTCAAAATAGAACATAGCAACGGTCTGGCCACCACCCAGAACACCCCAGAAACTGCATAGCAACACAAACAACCAATCAGAACACCTCAGTAACCGCATATAAACGCCCTGGCAACGTTTGTCTCGAAAGATGTACGCCGTCAAAATAGAACATAGCAACGGTCTGGCCACCACCCAGAACACCCCAGAAACTGCATAGCAACACAAACAACCAATCAGAACACCTCAGTAACCGCATATAAACGCCCTGGCAACGTTTGTCTTGAAAGATGTACGCCGTCAAAATAGAACATAGCAACGGTCTGGCAACCACCCAGAACACCCCAGAAACTGCATAGCAACACAAACAACCAATCAGAACACCTCAGTAACCGCATATAAACGGCCTGGCAACGTTTGTCTCGAAAGATGTACGCCGTCAAAATAGAACATAGCAACGGTCTGGCCACCCAGAACACCCCAGAAACTGCATAGCAACACAAACAACCAATCAGAACACCTCCGTAACCGCATATAAACGCCCTGGCAACGTTTGTCTCGAAAGATGTACGCCATCAAAATAGAACATAGCAACGGTCTGGCAACCACCCAGAACACCCCAGAAACTGCATAGCAACACAAACAACCAATCAGAACACCTCAGTAACCGCATATAAACGGCCTGGCAACGTTTATCTCGAAAGATGTACGCCGTCAAAATAGAACATAGCAACGGTCTGGCCACCCAGAACACCCCAGAAACTGCATAGCAACACAAACAACCAATCAGAACACCTCAGTAACCGCATATAAACGCCCTAGCAACGTTTGTCTTGAAAGATGTACGCCGTCAAAATAGAACATAGCAACGGTCTGGCCACCACCCAGAACACCCCAGAAACTGCATAGCAACACAAACAACCAATCAGAACACCTCAGTAACCGCATATAAACGCCCTGGCAACGTTTGTCTCGAAAGATGTACACCGTCAAAATAGAACATAGCAACGGTCTGGCAACCACCCAGAACACCCCAGAAACTGCATAGCAACACAAACAACCAATCAGAACACCTCCGTAACCGCATATAAACGCCCTGGCAACCACCCGAAACACCTCAGTATCATCATAGCAACATAAACAACCTTTCAGAACACCTCAATAACTGCATATAAACACCCTGGCAACCACTTAAAACACCTCAATAAGTACATAGCAACACAAACAACCAGTCAGAACACCTCAGTAACTGCATAGCAACGCCCTGGCAACCACCTAGAACACCCCAGTAACAGCAACATAAACAACCAATCAGAACACCTCAGCATATCTCAATTGTGTCTCCTACCTAGACAGTAGTGAAATTAAATCAAATGGAAAACTGAAGTCTCCTGCTTCTCAGATATTTCTCCTCAGGGATTAAGTTATCTCATGTGTTCGAACTGCTCCTTTCTACCAAGTCTGCTATTAGATCAAGTCAGAGATCTCAATATGAACTCAAATATTCCCATCAAATCATCTATGCTGCTGTGCATTTTTATTTTATAGCTAAAGTAAATAGTCAATCGAGACCTCGTGAACTTTGAAAGGGTATCAAGAGGCCCGGCTCCATAAGCTGCATTTGCGCCCGTGTTGTGGTCATTCTTGCCCTGCGTGATGTCTCTCAGCTGTCTCAGGTGTTGTTTGACAGGTCTCCGTCTTTCGCATGAGGAGAGAGTGGGTGGGATGAACCCGGACAGGCTGTCGCTGTAGTTTTCTGTGCATAATACATTTCGACGTGCCTCGTTTTAAAAGCATCAGGACACATTCTCCCCCCTGCACCACAGAAGGGCATGCGTCACCATCTCTGTTTGACCTTGATATCACTCTTGGCTTTACTTTTAAGGTAATTACATTTTAATGTTTTTAGAATAAAAAAAAAAAAACGTCCTCGCAATCGCATAAAGAATGAAGCCGGAGGAAACATTAGACGGATGACAGAAGAGGTTGATGACATTTTATCAAAAATACCTTCTTAGTCATCAGCATGTGGGAAAAACCTGTATTATGTAAATCTGACAGACTCTAAATAATGAATAGTGAGGGAATATTCTGCTTTAATAATACACGTCTGCCTAATCGCCTGCGGTCTTGTTTTTCTTTTTAGGTCAGGGGTTCCGAAACTTAAAGGGACAGTTCACCCTAAAATAAAAATCAAGTCACCCTGGTGTTGTTTCAATACCGTATTCCCTTTTTCCTTTTATGGACCAAAAAAGGATAATTTTTAAAGCAAAAGCATCACAGAATGATCCCATGTGAAACATTTAGTACGTTCATCAATATTAATTTAATGTATTGACCTTGGCCCTCTGTGCATGTTCGTGTGACTCTATTAGCGCCTGAGATATTCTCTTCACTCAATTTCTCTTCAAATCAAGAGAAATTGGATTTTTTAAATCTAGATTTCTCTCAACTATTGTGCTTTTTCTGGGCGAGTCGAAGTAAACCGTGGCGCTAACAGTCACACTAACACGCACAGAGGACCAACGGCCAAGGTCAGGACTTTTGTTAAATAATATATACATTTTATGTCGTATTCCTCCTGAACACTTAGAATATATGAAATGTCTCATGGGATCATTCTGTGATACTTTTGCGTCATTTTTAAAAAAGCTTGATTCTGGTCGCTATTCACTGCCATTATTGGCGAGCGGGACATTTGAAAAAAAATCTCCTTTTGTGGTCCATAAAAGAAAGAAGGACATATAGCATTAAAACAACAGCAGGGTGAGTAATTTGGTTAGTTCACCCAAAAATTTAAATTCTGTCAGTAATTACTCACCCTCATGTTGTTCCAACCCCGTAAGACTTTCGTTCATCTTCGGAACACAAATTAAGATATTTTTGATTAAATCTGAGAGCTGGATCACTCCTCCATAGGCTTCTTAAGGGATCGAAACTTGCCGGCCCAAAAGTTATGGAAGACATCGTTAAAATAGTCCGAGTGACTATTTTCATTTTCATTTCAGGGTGAACTATCCCTTTAAAAAACCTACAGTCCCCCAGTACATCTGGGAAAATATCGATGGCTCCTCCTTCTGTTTAACTCTCAATTGCATTTCAAAATTAATGTTTTAATTCATCAAAAGCAGCAAGCATACCATTTATAACGTGGGCTCGGCGGTGAAATTGATAACTCAAATCCATAAAAAAAAAAAAAAATCATATTGCTTTAAGATTCTAGCACAGTATGCACTGGAATCACCGCTCACTTCCAGTGTTTACACATGATGTCACTCAGCTTTTAATGAACACTGCATGACTTGAAGAGTACAAATAACGTGAAAGGCATGAAAACAATCCACAATGAACTTCTAACTTACATCTGCCTCAGCATTCAAACAGGTTGACAGTGAATTCCATTTAAAAACACACAAAAATGTCATCAGTACAGGTCCAAAGCTGTTTTAGTTCGCAGATCCACCACTGGTTTCCACACTGGAGATGAATTCCTGCGCTCCACTAATGCCTGATCATTCATTTATTGCTTTCTAAAACTGTCAAACACAGCATACATAACCTTAACTGTTATATTTATAACATCACATCAATAGTCAAACTTTCGGCCACAATCTTCTTAGTTGCATTTTATCTAATTAATGATTTTCGCTACTGTAGGTGAATGCATGAAATGAACAGATATTTGGATACGAGGCTCACAAAAAAAAGGCGTCTACTGTACAACCTCAATGTCTTTAACTCCTCTTCTGGACATCAGCACAAAGAAGTTGTTGTCTGTGAAAAACATTTATTACTCAGATGAAAGTCAGTGCAATCAGATACAAAATGAACGCCCTAACTTACGGGATGAGCTCCTTCGCACATCACATGAGAACTGTAAAGCAAAGAGAGGTCATCGTAGACGGCAGACCGTTCACAGACATTCCTGTCATAGAAGCTTCAAAGCATAAACTGGGCCTCGTCCATCAAACACAAGCAGAACCAAATGTGTCATTTGTATGAAAGCCATTTTTGCATAATTTTGTCAAGGTCTTCCTGATTTGTTCCGCTCTCTAGTTATTTTTTCATTACTCGATTTCAGGAATAATTTACATGCATGTATTTTCGTGATTGCAAGCAACTATATGTATCTCACGTTTTATGTAATATTTACATGGAAGTCATGTATTACAACAACCAAAATTTACATTAAAAATGTTTTACGAACAATTTACAGAGAAATAAATAAAATGCAATTTCCATTAGAAGGGCTGGTTCACACAGAACGTGTTTTTGGGGGTGGAATGGGGGAAAACCCCAAAAAGTTCTCGAGATGTGTCTTTTAAAAGACATATTTTAACTTGTCATGCGTAAGATGCAACGAAAGATGCAAGACGGGAGCGCAACGGTCAAACACGTCCGTCTAGCGCGTGTTTACATGGAAAAATTATGGAAAAATAGCGGAGTGCAATGGAAAAACGCGTTCTGTGTTATACAGACGTTCTTTCTGCTTGCATAAACGTGACAGTATAAAAAATGACAGTTTACATAAAATGATTTTACAAACAAATTCATTCGGCTTGCATTTCATGAATGAGGCCCTTTGATGTCAGCTTTCAAAATGTAAACATACAAAATAAAAATGTAAAGTAAAAATGTAATGGCAGCAAACATTGTAGTGCATTTTAACCATACTTTCATATTTGTGTCATACAACATGCTGAATTTACATGCAAGCATTATTTATACTTCTGGGTATGTTATGTTCGTAAACCGTTAGCAGAGAACGTGTTCAGGCTAGCAGCAGTTGGGCAGAGTCGGGAGGAACTTCCGGAAGAACTTCCTGAACTCTGTGTTGAAGACGGTGTAGATGATGGGGTTGAGGGCGCTGTTGACATAGCCCAACCAGGTCACGATACTAATGACAAAGCCAGGGATTTCACACTCCTCGCAAAGAGCCCTCATCGTGTGCACTACGAAGAACGGCGTCCAGCAGAACAGGAAGGCACCTGTGGATGGACGAATGTCAGGTGAAAAATTATTCTATGGACCAGAGTTTCCGCTAGAAAAAAATGGTTTCGAAAAGAGGTTTCGTTTAACGGACATTTTGATGATATGCCGGTCAAATATCGCCTATTAATTAGTCAAGTTGAGGAAACTGGAGGCAGGCTATGTAACTTAAAAAATGACATAATCAGGCCGTATAGAACGCAACATGTTGTTATTATTAGCCTAACTTTCAAATAGACGGAAAAAACCATGAACGTCCGATTGGCGTCAATCAACACCAATTGTTTTTTACTATAGTTTCACACACATTCACTTTTTGAAACATTGAGGCACGGATGTACCTAATACAAATAAATAAAACATTTCCGCTGCTATCAGTTGCATGGACGACGCGCTGCGCGAGTTGCGCAATCTTCACTCGGACGCGCGTTTCAATCTATCGCCGTTGCGGAGACTCTACACAGGCAAAGCACTGCTACTTGGGCGCAGAGATATCACGCAACACCTGAAATAAAGCTTGCTACAAAGAACCGGCGAAAGTAATGATTATGCATGAAACATTTGAATTGTTGATAAATTGATAAAGTTGACGATGCAGACTCGCCATCTTCGCAGTAGTGAACGCGCCTATAGAGAGAAGTGTGCACGCGCCGGCGCCTCCGTGTCCTGATTATAATGTCCACTATATTTGCTTCTTATTTATTAATCCAAGCAAATTTGTTGATGAAACATTGATTAAAATGAAGATACAATTTATCAGGCTAGCCTGCCTGGGCCTGGCCATATTTGAAACGTCTCACTCAATCGTTCGTTGTTTAGGTCTATATTACAGCCGTTCTAGGCGTGCGCTTTATTTGAAATGCAGCATGCGATGTTGTTTAATAACTTTCAAACGGTAGAGCCTGTTCCTTTATAACATAGGTCGGTGTATTTTTGCTTTATACATTTTAGGCTTATTCTCAAATTCATATTGTGTTAGGGGGACGGGATTATTACGCAATTTTAATCGGACAATTTGACCGGAGAGATTTAATTTTGTCGGACATTTCATTTTTTTCCCGGCTAATGTCCGGTAATTACCGGACAACGGAAACCCTGCTATGGACACATAAACATATTGTTGTCCTTTAACACTGGAAGGAAACGCCACAAGTCCACACCGCAAATATGACTATAACACTACAGAGGAACGATATTGTTATTTTTTGCTGTAATTCCACTGATTAAGTGCGATAAGGCCCGTTCACACTATGGACGATAACTATAATGTTTTAATAATCGTTCTAATTCTGTGAGAATAAGTTTGTCCTCACCACAACCAGGGTTCTCAAGTCTCACGCATTGGCCGTGAGACACACACAATTCAGCCAGTTCACACGTCACACCGTGTGTTTCTCACGCTGAAAAGGCAATGCCAACCAAGTTGTCCTGCAAGCTTTATATATAATGTTGTATACGAGGCGTAGGCACACAAAGTGAACTTTCCTGCCGTCAGCACCATAGACTGTAAAAAAATAGGTCAGCACGTATCTCGGCCAGATTGCGTTCGTTACTAGGCAACATAGATGCGCGAACACACGGAAGTTGACGGAACATTCTCGGCCACCGTACGCTCGTTACTAGGTAACCAACAACATTGCGCGAACACACGTGGTGATGGAGAAGTTAAGTTGGAAGAAAGCTCGTCTAACATTTTTAAGCTAGAACATTTAATATATAGCCCATTGTATACATTATTATTGATGCAGTCAAAAACTCTACAATTACTTTGCAACCAGGCCAGACGCTTTGGCTCAGTTTGGCTAGCTTACGTTATCTGAAACTATAAGGGAAGTGTTAGTGGGTATGGGAAGGAATGAAGATGTATTTCTTCATTTTATTTTAAATTATATATTATACTGTATTAATAGTCTTTCTAGTTACATTAAAGGGTTAGTTCACCCAAAAATGAAAATTATGTCATTAATGACTCTCCCTCATGCCGTTCCAAGCCCGTAAGACCTCCGTTCATCTTCAGAACACAGTTTAAGATATTTTAGATTTAGTCCGAGAGCTTTCTGTCCCTCCATTGTAAATGTGTGTACGGTATACTGTCCTTGTCCAGAAAGGAAATAAAGACATCATCAAAGTAGTCCATGTGACATCAGTGGGTTAGTTAGAGTGTTTTGAAGCATCGAAAATACATTTTGGTCCAAAAATAACAAAAACGATGACTTTATTTACTATTGTATTGTCTTCCGGTTCTGTTGTGGATCCGCGTTCAGTGCCGCCGCTGACGTAAGACGCTGCTGACGTGTGTCTGGTGTGTGTGTGTGTGTGTGTATTCTGGTTCTGTTGTGGATCCGCGTTCAGTGCCGCCGCTGACGTAAGACGCTGCTGACGTGTGTCTGGTGTGTGTGTGTGTGTGTGTATTCTGGTTCTGTTGTGGATCCGCGTTCAGTGCCGCTGCTGACGTAAGACGCTGCTGACGTGTGTCTGGTGTGTGTGTGTGTGTGTGTGTCTGGTGCGTCCGTGTATTCGGGTTCAAATAAATATGGCTGGGCAAAAAATGCAAGTCTTCCTCTGTGTGGAAATCCTTAGACATGTTTGTGAAGATTGTTTTGTTTCCAGCGTGCGTCTCCCTCAGACTGTAAACGAAGCTCGGGCGCACCAGACACACACACACACACACACACACACACCAGACACACGTCAGCAGCGTCTTACGTCAGCAGCGGCACTGAACGCGGATCCACAACAGAACCAGAATACACACACACACACACACACACACACACCAGACACACGTCAGCAGCGTCTTACGTCAGCAGCGGCACTGAACGCGGATCCACAACAGAACCAGAATACACACACACACACACACACACACACCAGACACACGTCAGCAGCGTCTTACGTCAGCGGCGGCACTGAACGCGGATCCACAACAGAACCAGAATACACACACACACACACACACACACCAGACACACGTCAGCAGCGTCTTACGTCAGCGGCGGCACTGAACGCGGATCCACAACAGAACCAGAATACACACACACACCAGACACACGTCAGCGGCGTCTTACGTCAGCGGCGGCACTGAACGCGGATCCACAACAGAACCAGAATACACACACACACACACACCAGACACACGTCAGCAGCGTCTTACGTCAGCAGCGGCACTGAACGCGGATCCACAACAGAACCGGAACACAATACAATGCTGAATAAAGTCCTAGTTTTGGTTATTTTTGGACCAAAATGTATTTTCGATGCTTCAACACATTCTAACTAACCCACTGATGTCACATGGACTAACCCACTGATGTCACATGGACTACTTTGATGATGTCTTTATTCCCTTTCTGTACAAGGACAGTATACCGTACATACATTTACAATGGAGGGACAGAAAGCTCTCGGACTAAATCTGAAATATCTTAAACTGTGTTCTGAAGATGAACGGAGGTCTTACGGGCTTGGAACGACATGAGGGAGAGTCATTAATGACAATATTTTCATTTTTGGGTGAACGAACCCTTTAAAGCTACATGAATTGAAGGCTTCCGATTTGGACGGCTGTCAAAGATTGCCAAACTGGTTTTAATTCTTCCCCACTCCAGTGCAGATGCAGAGAGAGTGTTCTCTGTTACAGGTTATACAGGTTGGCTCTGGGCGGAACACGGTCATCCATTATGACAGTGAAAATGTCTGGTGTGTGAAAATGTGGGATTCCAGACAGAAACACAGGACTAACAGAGGGTCGCTCTCGTCAGAGGGATATGAAATATGACCTTTCGATCTGTCTTTCCCGCTCCCACTAGGAGCCACAGATCTATCATCCGTCAGAAGTGAGAGGACGGAGAGGACAGGTAGAATGGCTGAAAGTCACTGTAAAGGACGTTGCGTTTATCCCTGGAGTACTTTGGCTTTTATGCTTTGTTTTATATATTTTAAAAGAATAATTATCTTTTGAACATGACTGGCCATTTGCATTGTGGCTCTTCTGATATTGTGCAACTTACAACTTAGCCTAGTTTTAAAGTAAACAGGAATTTTTGAACACATTAAACTTATAATATTTGTACATATTAAACTTATTTGAAACGTAATTCTACATATAAAATAAATATTTACAGAAGCCTCTGACCAAGAGTAACGGTTGAAATAAAATTGCATCAAAAACCTTAAATCCTTTAGACATACATACATACATACAGTATACGATAATGATGACATTTACACTCCTTTAGATTTTAAGAGAAAACATTATGTGAATATATTACTTCGTTAGCACCTTTTCAAACCTGAGCTAAACAGCACACGTGTTATACATATCAAATAAAATAATCATAATTAAATAAATGCAATTTAAAAATCCCTATTATGTTATTAATGACTAAGTAGTATCGTATTTCAGTGGAAACTTTTTTTTCAAGTCACGTGAGGCAAATGTTAGAATAAAGGATCAACTAAAATTCATGCATTCCAACTATTGGATCATTGAGGGTAAATGCTGCAACCAAATAAAGGACAGTGAGTACTAAACTAGCTAGCAGTTACTAAGCTTCTAGTGTGGACTTCTGAACAGTTGGTGGCGCGACCCTACCCTGACCTTTAACAGTCTCTCTCACTCTTTTACCTCCTTTTTCTCGCCTGTACTCAGGTTGACAAGGAGCGAAAGGGATTGCCAAGTACTGTACAGAGCACGGCACAGGTACAGCACTGGCACGTCCCATGAACCCGTGAAGAGGATAAGTGCATGTCTTAATGTGACACGGCTGCCCCCACTCTGCCTGCTGGACTAAAGTGAGGCTTACATCATAATCGGATTGGAGGATTGCTGAGGAATGATTAGCCAATGAGGGCCAAAGGAGTTCCTCGTTTCAGCAAATGTGGACAGGGTGTTTTTAATCACTCTATGCCCATTTTAATAGTGAGAGACTTTTTTTTTTTCTCTTTGTTTTATCTGAACTCACAAACGCCTCCAAACTGAGATTATGGTGCATTTTATGGTTAAATCAAAGCTATTTGAAAATAAATCTAAGACATTCCTCATTCCTTATAAAGAAAACATATTTTTTTATTTATTCCCTAAATAAATAAATTAGGCAGAAACGTTGTTTCTTTGCTAACTGCAACGGCTCAGTCCTCCTAATTTTTTATCCGAAATTAAACATTTACTTTAAACAGTATTTAGAACAAATGGCTAGTTTAATAATAAATGATCCGCCAATTGTTTTTTTAATGATAAAGTTAATTTTCAATCTGCAAATTGATGTCTATAAAAACTAATTTAAATAAATAATAATATACTTACACTATTACATACCTCAGGTCGCTAGTGACCCTACTCACTTTTTACAAAAAAATATTTTTTCTTGTTATATTGTTCAGAATGAATAGATTGAGGAATACTAAGAAGATTGATGTGTAACCTTACAAAATTTATGAGTGGGAGGAAGTGAATCACGTCCCGGGTCGACAAACACCCGAGGTATCCATTTTAAGTTTAATAAATGAATTCATGTAGTCTCTGAAATAATACAGTGTCATAAAAACTAGAGTATAGTAAGACGTGTCAAATTCCGTATATCACATCAACTGACTTACCTACTACAACGGGAAGCACCCTCATTGCTTTCCTCTCCCTCCTGTTTATTTTCGCCCCCTTCCTCTGCCGGTTCTGGTTTTGATCTTTGTAGTTCCCAGCAGGGTAGGCGAGCATGGACACCGGATCTGGGCTGTCAGGATCGGGGTAGTGATCGTGGTCCAGCTCCTCTGTGTCAGTGAGGTCTTTCTCGATCACAGGCGGCAGAGGGGGGGGCAGGCCAGACAGGGGCGGGAGCGAGGCGGCGGCCTCCTGAAGCTTTCGGCATGTCTGCATGCTGTTCCTCAGCCGGGCCTTGCGCGCCTCTTCCCAATTCCTCAGGCCCCGGAACATCCCGCAGTACAGCAACAGCATGATGGGGCACGGCACGAAAAACGAACAGACGGAGGAATAGACCACGTAGTTGTTGTCCTCCAGCTTGCATTCGCTGTTGTCCCGGTCGGGGACGTTGTTGATGCCGAACATCACAGGGGAGGCCACGGCTAAGGCCAGGATCCATGTGGCGGAAAGCAGGACAATCTGTCGCTGGTCCACATGTTGGCGGTTGTAGTTAAGAGGGACAAAGACTGCGATGAACCTGTTGAGGTATTATAATTCAGTCCATGCAAAACTATTTAAGAAACTTTCTTGACCCTGATCAACACCTTCCTTTCATCATCAAATGCTAGCTGGTCGAATCTCTTATTGGCTAATTGAGTTGACCCAATTGTGTGTTGATATTTCCCTGAACCCTCCTAATATCACTCATATACAACGTGTGTATGTCCAGGTCATAATTTTCACGCCAAAATTCTCATGAGCATATTGCAAACATTTTTCATTATTATTTTTGTATGCCTATAGTAAAAAAGAAAAAGAAAACTACCACTTTTGGTACCATAATTTGGGGTAAAAAGTCCTTAAATGTCATAAAAATAAATGATCATTTATCATATATGATCATATATAAAAAAATCATTATTACTGTATGCCTATTATAAAAAAATCTGGAAACTACCACTTAAAAAAAACTACAAGAATACACCAAAAATACGGGGCTAAAGTGTTTAAATGTCATATATATACATTATTTAATAATCATTTTCTTAAAATATGTATTTTATGCTAAATGAAAAAAAATATTTGAGGGGGTGAAGTGTTAAGTATGATATGTGAGATACACATATATGTCATAGTTTTATTTAATAACTGTTCTCTATGAGTCTCAAAGCTGCATATCATCTCCATATCAGTGATAGATGAAGCCATGACCTCTATTATTGAGCGAGTACATTTCTAAACAGGAGTGTGAACCCTGAGGCATCTCACGGCTCTGGACGCATGTGGCTGTTACACAAATCAAACGCAGCGGTGTCCGTGTATCAGTTCTCAACACATTGCTTTTTCATGCTGATTCAGTGGCGACTTCTGCCAAGTGGCGTGTTTGCAGCCTTTCCTTGCATAACAAGTTTCATGCTGTTGTATCTCCTGAGTGCCGGCCTGAGCATATATCTCATTAATCTCTCAAAACGCCGTCTGCTGAGCCACATCGAATGGCAGGAGGGATGATAATGACCCTCTGGTTGACTCGAAACGCCAGGCCAGCGACGGCGGGACAGTCTAATGATGAATCCGGTGTAATTCCAAGGTACTTGGCAACTTAATGCCATTTAGTTATTCTGAACACATCTTATCTGCTTGTATCTCTCTACCAGTCTCTCTTCTTTTAATCATAGCAGGAAGCTATGAAATTTTATTATAAATGCCATTTCATCGTGTCTTCAAACAGAACCACAATTAGGAAGGTAACCTGCTGTGACCCTTATCGCTTCCAAAATATAACTAGCTGTGCAAAATCAGTGCACTGCGTGAATTTGATTCATCGATCCTCGCCCTAGTTCAGGCGTCAGACTTTAAGTTTGGCATGTTTTACGCATTTCGTGTCTACATACAGTAACCGCAGCTGCGCACATACTTTAAGCTTTCACACAACATTTCTACAACTCTGTACCCCAAATAAAGTGTCTTCTGGATTACCACAGTGACTTTTTCCTTTGATAACGACTATAAATAAATAAAATGTTTTTTGAAAGTGGGTGCAAACTATTTCAGCATGCTATCTAATTTGCATTAGGATGGAAAACATGCTTGCATACAAATGGTAATGCATTTTCTCTAAGTTTCTGTTTACACAAAGATATACCAGTTTTTTATACCTGGTATAAAGATGCGTTTTGGTCGATCGGATCCAAGAAGATGAGGGAGACATTCCCATTTACACCTGGTGTTTTAATCTGTATTTAGTCTCTTTATTTAGTCTCTTTTGACCACTTATGTCCTGATTTCTTTGAGGGGAGGGTCTGTGGGCTGATAAATGTATGGGATTTTCAGATCTTTCGATCTAATGAATGAAATAAAAATATGAACGCGACCAGAGACGATGGAAAAACACAGAGAGCATCAGCTTTAGTTTCTGCTCTGACAGGCGCAAGACCAGCCGAACGCTGTGAGTGTGTGTTAGAAATCAGGAATGGAGAGAGAACATTGTGCTTGGTACGTTTTTCATCTTCAAACCAAACTTGGGTCTCCAGCCGATAAAGTTTAAATCCCGTCTGGCTCGAGCTCTTCTCATAATGTTACTCATTAGATCAGTAGACGGAGAGAAGACGGTCTTTTGTGGCTGTTTGAACAACACATTCGATCACATGAGCGTTTACACCAGGTGACAAAGTCTCAACTTTCAAATTTGGTAATTTCTTAAAGAAATTGAAACAGTAAATACCGTTTTGTGGCTGTTTAATGTGTCAGATCGCTGAAGAGCCTCAGTTAAAGCTGCTCGTGAACCGATCATCTCTTCCTTCTAGTTCATTTATAGCATCAAATAAACATGAAAGAACAGAAGGAATGTTGTTTTAACCTTAGAAAGACGTTTTTCAAGTTCAAATCCTCCAACGTTAATCTAATAACTCTCCTGACCGCTTTGTTGGACAAAAATGGTGGATTCGGTGGATTATGATTGGTCAGATCGCCTGTCAATCAAACTCCCTGCGAAGGGTCAATCGTTTTAATGGTTTCAGTTTTTCATTTTAGTTAACGATATTAACGCACAGACACAACATGTGCAACAGCTCGATGTCAGACCCACCTGTCAATGCTGATGGCACAGAGGTTAAATATGGAGGCGGTGCAAAGCATCACGTCCATCGTCATCAGTCCATCACAAAGGGTCATATTAAGGGACCAAACTCCATCCTGGAACTGAGAGGGAGAAAAAAATCATCACTGTCTTTTACTCTTTACCAATTTGTTGCTTCTCTCATACATGCCATGTTTTCCTATCATTTCATTCCTATGGCTCTCTGACCTCTTTCACCTTCCCCTAACCTCCTGTTCACAGCGGAGCGACTGTGTGAAACCTTAATTTCCTTATTATCCGTTTGGCCTTGTCACAACACACACACACACACCACATGCTCTCAGGCTGATGGTAATTTAGTACCTGATGAGCATCATGTGTTCTAAAAAAAAAGAGATAAAACAGCAGAGAAGAGGATTTAATGGCATTTTAATTATTGGCCAGGAGATGAGGACAGATTCCTAATTGCTTTTTGGTAATGGCCTCTCTCCCATGCCAACGAGCAACGTTCCCCCTACAAGAGGAAGCCATGAGATCGTGGTGAGGGGACTCATGTAAAATTGTAATTAAGCCACGGCTGACTCACTGGAGCTTATTTTCTCCGTGTCCTTGTACTGAAGAGCCAGCCAAACAGAGTCATTGCTTCGCTCCTGGTGACCTTGTCTCCGCTGTCTGGGGCCCTCAGAATCCAGTCTAGGGAACACGGTAACTAGCATGGCCACGAATGGCATGTCCGATCGGTAGTTATTTTGGAGGCCTCATAAGTGGAAGCGTCTCGGACCTCGCGCCCACATCCCGGGGTGACAGACAATGTGTGTTGTGTGATGTGTGTTCATGATGTCCGCTCTGGTTGAGACAGACAATCTCAGCAGCAGGGGGCCGTTGCAGGCCGGATGAATGCAAGTCTGCAAAGTTTTTCACGCAAGGGTAACAATTGATCATTGATGCTAAGTTCGTCTTGCGCTTTTATGGAACAGTGTCAGGTGATCAGATCGATATATCTTAGATGATCTCTAGTCAATAGATGAAAGATTACTGTTATCATTGTTAACCATAGTTAATGGCAAGTTACTACAGCTACTGTTGCTACAAGAAAACCGTTTTAGCTAAGTTTTACGTTCATGTGTATATATATATATAAATATACACACACACTTAATATTAAATATAAAAAAAAATATTGCATAAAAATAGCACGTATCAACTACTACGTTTTACGTTCACAGACTTATATATACACACACATTCAATATTAAATTATTAAAATATAATAAATATATTGTATAAATATAGCATGATATCAACTTATTTTATTTCAGCAATTCTTTATACAGTTTATTTATGTACATTTCTGACTTAAAATGAACTTGGTTTACAAGTACAGACATGTTAAAACCAGCATGAAATGGCCAATTCTTACAGTGGGTTTTATGGGTCATTTAAGATGATCACCAGGTAAACCAGCTTAGCGGGGTTTTACAAACCTGTTTGTTTTCTGGTCACCTTGCAAATACACAATATTGTGATTACATTATCTAGGTAATGAATTATCTTAACTCACCTCTGTATACACGAACAGCGGTAATACCAGAACAGCCAGCAGCAAATCAGCAACAGCTAAGCTGACTATGAAGTAGTTAGTTGTGGTTTTCAGCGCTTTCTCCGTGTAAACGCTCAGACACACCAGCACGTTCCCACATATGATGATAATGATCAATAATACCCCGAAAATGAGCGCTGGGAAGTTGTAGTTCGTGGTGTGGCTGGAGATGGTGAGGTTGGCTGGCATGTCTGCCTCTATAATAACCTGTCATCTGGGAATCCTTTGATAAAACTGACCGTTAAAACCCGTTTCTTCTTAGCCATTATTTGAGCGCTCCTGAAAACTTCGACCTGCGTCCCATTATTTTTTGTCTTTAAAGGAAAGAAGACGCTGAGAGTCCCAGTAAGCTCTAAGATCATCGCTGTTCATTCTTCGTTGTTTGACGCAAAAGTTTTCTGTCAGGTTCACAGCCCGAGCTCGCGCTATTTCCATCCACCTGCGCGCGCGTCTTAAAGCGGCTTAGCGTCGCGCTGTTAATATCTGAGGCGGTTCATTATAATGACGCGAGGTTATTGAAAACGCTTATCTTTATAATAGCATCACTTGTTAAAGTTAGTGAATAGGGCTGTAAATAAAGCCTCTCCGTCCCGCGTTTCACCGGTTGACCGTCCGGTGTCTCTCCGCTTTAGTTTGACCGGAACGATCCACGGGAGTGATAATCTCGTCATCTGTGACGAGTGGGGTGTGACATTTCCCCCGAGTGGCTTAAGGATGGAGGTTTAGGCCAAATCTTGGGTTCTTACAACACTAAATAATCACTTTATTACTTTTAGTCCAATGTGTAGTCCAACTGTAGACTTTACGTTTTGTGTTTCAAGTTTTATGTTATAACGACAGCTTGTTTTGGTCTATCGTCTGATACGATCCTAAGCAAAGTGGTCGCGCTGTCTACTGTTGCTATGGTTACTTCCTTAGTCGAACGCATTTTTTTACAGTCTATGATTTGCGCCAAGCCTGTAGAAAATTAACTTTTTAGAACCTTTTCCTCACAGCAGCGTTAACTAGGTTTTTTTTTTTTGATGCAAAGGTAGTATAATACTAAGTATAGTGTTATAAATGTACATAGCCTACATTTAAAAAAAAAAATGAAAACGTGAGAAAAAAAAACGTGGATTTACGATGCTGATGACCGTTAAAAATAGTCATCACAGTCTTGGAAAAGGGTCTGATTTGTTTTCACTATATTTTTTCTCTCCTTGTATTATCTTATTTTTTCAAGATTTTGAATTAAAGTTTATGATTGTTGTATGTATGAGGACACGTTAAAGTCCTATTGTTATCTACACTCACCTAAAGGATTATTAGGAACACCATACTAATACTGTGTTTGACCCCCTTTCGCCTTCAGAACTGCCTTAATTCTACGTGGTATTGATTCAACAAGGTGCTGAAAGCATTCTTTAGAAATGTTGGCTCATATTGATAGGATAGCATCTTTCAGTTGATGGAGATTTGTGGGATGCACATCCAGGGCACGAAGCTCCCGTTCCACCACATCCCAAAGATGCTCTATTGGGTTGAGATCTGGTGACTGTGGGGGCCATTTTAGTACAGTGAACTCATTATCAAGAAACCAATTTGAAATGATTTAAGCTTTGTGACATGGTGCATTATCCTGCTTGAAGTAGCCATTAGAGGATGGGTTCATGGGGGCCATAAAGGGATGGACATGGTCAGAAACAATGCTCAGGTAGGCAGTGGCATTTAAACGATGCCCAATTGGCACTAAGGGGGCTAAAGTGTGCCAAGAAAACATCCCCCACACCATTACACCACCACCACCAGCCTGCACAGTGGTAACAAGTCATGATGGATCCATGTTCTCATTCTGTTTACGCCAAATTCTGACTACCATCTGAATGTCTCAACAGAAATGGAGACTCATCAGACCAGGCAACATTTTTCCAGTCTTTAACTGTCCAATTTTGGTGAGCTCTTGCAAATTGTAGCCTCTTTTTCCTATTTGTAGTGGAGATGAGTGGTACCCGGTGGGATCTTCTGCTGTTGTAGCCCATCTGCCTCAAGGTTGTGCGTGTTGTGGCTTCACAAATGCTTTGCTGCATACCTCGGTTGTAACAAGTGGTTATTTCAGTCAAAGTTGCTCTTCTATCAGCTTGAATCAGTCGGCCCATTCTCCTCTGACCTCTAGCATCAACAAGGCATTTTTGCACAGAGGACTGCCGCATACTGGATGTTTTTCCCTTTTCACACCATTCTTTGTAAATACTAGAAATGGTTGGCCATGAAAATCCCAGTAACTGACCAGATTGTGAAATACTCAGACCGGCCCGTCTGGCACTAACAACCATGCCACTCTCAAAATTGCTTAAATCACCTTTCTTTCTCACCTGACATTCAGTTTGGAGTTCAGGAGATTGTCTTGACCAGGACCACACCCCTAAATGCATTGAAGCAACTGCCATGTGATTGGTTGATTAGATAATTGCATTAATGTGAAATTGAACAGGTGTTCCTAATAATCCTTTAGGTGAGTGTAGTTATTGCTCTTGGTGTGAACCGGCCTTATCTCAGCTTGTTAAATACAGTGTGACGTTTGAAGTGGAGATGTCGAGTTCTGTCAGTGTCATGCTACACCGCTACCAATAAAATAGTTTATTATTGGAATTGAACAGGTGTTCCTAATAATCCTTTAGGTGAGTGTATGTTATAGTGTGCTCCAAAACAATGACAAAATGTGCATTTAGAAGATATAAGCATTTAAAACTTACAATCTCTCACTTTCGCCAATATGATCAAGGATTTTGATGACATCACTCTGCACTTCAGATTCTGTCCAATCAAATGCTCTCTATAGAATCTGCAGCTCCGCCCCCTACATTTAGCTGCGCTAAAATCAATCACTTGTTCACACATTTACTGTTTTCTACATGGTGAATGGCACATAGTGCACTATATAGGGAAGGATACACTGTAGCTGAGGCGTGCTACTACTATAATAATACGCTGATTGAGGCGGCCAAATATGGACTGGATTCCGGTCAGAGAATCAGGGAGCGGAGAGAAGATTCTTCACAGAGATGTTTTATTGTACAGTCTTTGGGTGGTTATCTGGATTAGTTATTCATTGGCAATGATGTCTGTATTAATGGTATCAAGGCATAAACGCATTAAACAAACATAAATAAGCGTGAAGAGGTGAACATTCCCCAAGACAGTCTTCCTGTGTGTACCACTATATTCGGTCCGTGTGGCAAACAACTTTGATTCCTAGGACAGGCTTTCGTACACAGCCGCCCCCAATTATCTGACTGGAGAATTGAAAACACAGAAAGTCTGTCTACAGTATCTAATGATCCTCCTCAAAAGGCGGAAGTAGAATCAACCTAACAACTGGACGAGTGTAGGATTTCCCATTAACACTGACGCGAGCAGCGCGAACTTTCCCATCAGGTCCAGCCAATGTCTCAGACACCGTGCCCACAGGCCACAAGGTACGAGGAAGTTGGGGATCAACAATGAGAACGACTTCGCCCACAGTTAGCTCTTTGCCATCCTTTCTCCACTTCTGCCGCTCCTGTAAACTTGGGAGGTAATCTCTGATAAAGGCAGTCCAGAACTGATCCGCCAACACCTGGCTATGTCTCCATCTGCGTCTTCCGAGCAGGTTGGTAGAGTCGAAAAAGACTTGAGGTAGGGAGGCATCACGACGGCCCATAAGGAGCAGGTTTGGCGTCACTGGGTCAACGTCTGCTACATCGGAGGATACATAGCCGAGAGGCTTGGCATTTAGAATACCCTCAACCTCCGCTAACAACTTCCGCAGCACTGGCTCTGGCACCGTTTGCTCTCGCAGAATAACCCGTAGTGCAGTCTTTACAGATTTAACTTCACGCTCCCAGGTTCCTCCGAAATGAGGAGCATTAGGTGGAATGTGGCGGAATCTGATCTTCTGTGGAGCAAGCAGCTCCTGAAGCTTGGGTGCCATGGCATCAAAAGTGTCACGCAGTTCGCGGTCTCCTCCTACAAAGTTGGTGCCGTTGTCACATAGCAATTCCATGGGCTTACCTCGTCTTGCTATAAAGCGACGCAAAGAGAGCAGGAATGCATCAGTGTCAAGGTGCTCCAACAGATCTAGGTGCACACATCGGGTTGTCATGCACTTATAAAGGATACCCCATCTTTTTTCATGGCGACGACCAATCTTGACTGAAAGGGGGCCGAAACAATCCACTCCAGTAAAATAGAACGGTGGTTGGTGAAGTTGCAGCCTGCAGGATGGAAGATCGGCCATTTGGGGAACTTCAGGCTTGGCTCGCCAGAACTGACAATCTGGGCATTTGCGTTGATGCTTACGGACGGCTTCCCGACCCCGAAGTCTCCAATATTGGCGACGCAATTCCGCTAGCACCCTTTCAGAACCAGGATGCAGAAGTCGGCTGTCCATTTCTTTAATTAACAGCTTCGTTGTAGAATGACCAGGGTCTAACAGTATAGGGTGAATAGCATCAAGGTCAAGGTCAATAGCTCTACGTAACCGTCCCCCTACTCTGATAAGACCTGTGTCTTTATCGTACTCTGGTGCAAGGGATGCCAAACGGCTGGTAGCTGGAATCAGCTGTCCAGTCTTCAAAGCTTGAACTTCTAGTGGGAATGAGTCCTGTTGAGCTTGGGCCAGAATAAGCTTCTCTGCTTCAACATAGTCATCAGCTTGCAGTAAAGAGTCACTGTTTGCAGCAGCCGCCCCGTGTAGGGACCTGACAGTTGCCTCAATAAGCTCTAGCCATGTGCGAAATTGATCGGGGTCTACAAGTAACTGATTGGTAACTTTGACAGTGCCGATGAATGCAGTTTTCCTCAACTCGCTGATCTCAGATTCTACCTTAGTGACGGGTGTAGATGGCCACTGATCAGAAGGTTGAAGGAGGAAGTCGGGTCCTGAACTCCACGGGTGAGGTCCTGCTATCTGGGTCAGTGTCAGGCCTCTTGTGATGTGGTCAGCAGGATTTTGAGCTGAATCAACATATCGCCATTCAGCCGTGTCTGTAAGGGTCTGGATTTCTGCTATGCGCGTCCCTACAAATACCTTGTAGCGACAGGACTCAGAGGTTAGCCAGTTCAGCACAGTTGTTGAGTCAGACCAGAGGGTGACTGTCTGGAATTTATGAGGCAACTCAGTCTGGATCACTGTCGCTAACTGGGCGCCAGTCAGGGCTGCACTCAGTTCCAAACGAGGCATGGAGAGGCATTTTCTGGGAGCCACTCTGGATCTGGCCAGAACAAAGGCAACATGGATGTGGCCTTGATCATCAGTAGTACGCAAATAGGCCACTGAGCCGTATGCTCTTTCTGATGCGTCGCAGAATATGTGAAGTTCCCGGATGGCAACACGGGCTGCATGTAGTTCCGAACGGAAGCACTTGCCATTCATATATCTCAGGCTCCTGGTCTCTGCACATGTCCCTCCAAAGAAACCGCAACACTGGCTTGTCCTTGGGCAACAAGCGTACCTGATGGAACATAGCTTTTATGTCCCCACTCATGGCTACTGTGTGTTGTCGGAACCGCAGAAGCACACCTAACAAAGAGGATCCCAGCATCGGACCAGGAAGCAGCTGACTGTTCAAGGACTGGCCCTGATGTTGGAATGAACAGTTAAAGACGATCCTGTTCTTTCCATTGTGTTGTACGATATGGTGTGGAATGA